AACGCAGATACCTGACTGGAGCTTACCTGGGCTGGGCATCAGCATGGCCAGCAGATCCTGGGGCGTGTGGGGGTGGTCGCAACTCCCCCTGCTGGGGCTCAAGCAGGTATGTATGAGGCTAATCAGGGCCTCCCTGTCCTTGCTGTCTCCCAGAGGACCCCCATAGAAAACTGAAGCTGAAGTTGAAGGCAGAGGCCCTCAGTTCCAGCCCCTCCAGTTTCTACCACTTCCCAAACCAAAGTTGTAAATGATGTCCCTGGCTCAGTACTCCCACCTCCACCCTTGTCCAGGCTCTCCTGGGGGCAGATGACTACATGGGGGACAGGAAGGGTCTCACCGGCCAGTTCCTGCACAGCAGCATGGGGATTGCTAAGGCTGGCCCACAGTTGGTCTTGCATCTGAAGGACCTGGGTCAGAGTCACTTGATTCCTGGGGGAGGAGAACAAGAAGTAGGGTTTCAAAACCATCTATATGTTGAGGACTCTGACATCTTTCTCTAGAGCCCAAACCTCTCTTCTGAGCTCCAGACTCATGGTTCACTAGTCATTGTCACTTGGCACCTCAAATACAACTTGCTTTCAATAGAAATCACCATATCCCTCCACACCGGCCACCCAATTGTTCACAGCAGAAATCTGGGAGCCACCCTTGACTCCTTCTTTCCTCACCCCTTAGTTACTGTCCATTCCTGCTGTGACTACCCTAGCCCCTACCACCATGATCTCTCTTCCCTTGCGACTTCCAGAGCCTCCTAAAACTGTTCTACTTGCCTCCAGCCCAACCCTATCTGGTCCATTCTCCACACTGAAGGCAGAGTGATCTTTCCAACAGACAAATAGGGTCATATTTCTTCTCCTACTTAAAACAGGATAAAGTCAGTCCCCTTGCCATGGTCTTAAAGGCCCTTTACCACAAGCCTCACCTCTCCCACTCAACCCTCAGCATGTCCATCTCAGGCACACTGCCGTCTTCTCACCCCTGTTAAGCTTAATTCCCTCTGCTCAGAAAGGCCCCATCTCCACCTGAAGACAAGTCAAAGCAAGATCCCAAAGTCCTTGGAGAAGCTTTCCTTGGCTTCCTCCTGCCCTCACACTTTGGTGCTCCCCAGAGGTGAACCCAGCCTGTGGAAAACACTCAGTGTTTGCTGTGTGACCGACTGACTGAGCAGGATGGGTGGGGCCCTCACCAGTGTCCCCTGTGTGCCTGCAGCTTCATTCCATAGAGCTGCCGGTGTAGCAGGAGGCCATGTAGGAAGAGCAGAGGGAGCGTCCTGGTAAGGGGCTGCCCAGAAAGTCCTTGCTGGGCTAACTCCACATTGTTGATCAAGATGTGGCCCAGCTCCAGGGACTGCTCCCAGAACACAGGCATGCAGTGCTGAGTCAGCACAGCTGGGGAGGAAGGAGAGTGCTGAGTTCGTACAGTGCAATTGCCTTCCCCCCTCCCACAGTGCAATTGCCTTCCCCCCTCCCAGCCTGGGGGGGACCGGGGCAGTTCTTCACCTGGTAAGGAAGAAATAGCCTCTGCAGACACAAGAAGCCAAAGGCGGAAGTCTCTGTGGACCACATTCCTGCTTGCAGGTTGGGCTAAAAGCAGTTCTAACTCGAGGTCCGAGACCACTAGGGGTCAGACATGGGACTGAGATTAATCACTGGTTAGAGAGGGTCAGGCACAAGTCTAGAGATCTGACTTGAGGCTAAGGGTCAGGAGTTAGATAGATAGAGGGGACAGGCTTGAAGCTAGGGATTGGCTATGAGACCTGAGAGTTCCAGCTCAGGCCCAAGTGAAGGAGAGTTTCCTAGGAAGTCTCTCGGCAGCAAACCCACCCTTGGCTCCATCCAGCAGTCCCAGCAAGGGCTGTAGCAGCTCTTTTGGCCAGTGAGGCATCAGGTGACAGTTCTCCAGCACCAGCCAGTGCCCTTTGTGCATAGCCTGACGGAGAGTACTGACCACAACGGAGACTGGGTCCCAGGCCTCAGAGCCCAGGGCTATCACCTCCAGATGCTTCTGCCCCTGGGGACCACACAGAGATGTCAGAATAACTTGAAGTGGTCCTAATGTGATGGAAGGGACCCAGAGTAAAGCCACAATGACCCCCAAAATCTCTGAGTAATCCAGAAAGATCCATGAGAATGTTGGGAGGTACCACCCCCACCCCATCCTAACCCATTGAGAGCCTGGCTGCTCAGTGGCCAAGAGGCTTGGCTCAAACCTGCTCGTGCTGGGCAGCCAGTTTCTGGATGGCAGTCAGGGGATGCAAGATGGCTGTGGGGTGACCGGGTGGTGGCAACAAGATCAGCAGGGGCTGAGTAGCCTCACTGTGTTCAAAGGGTATAGTGGAAGCACTCAGGTTTTCATCCAGGGGCCGGCCCAGGAGGCTGGTGGTGAGATCTGCCAGGGCACCTGCAAGACACTCAGGTCTCAGCACACGCCACAGGATCAGCTTCTGGAGGAGGCTGAGTGGATCAGGCCCAGGTCCAGGTGCAGGCCCCAGCACTGTGGATGACAATGACAGGTAAGCCTGCCAAACACTGGAGTGACCTTCCAGGGATAAACGCAGCCCCGCAAATGGGGGCAGCAGCTCTAACATTCCACATTCTTGCCAGGCTCTCAGCCCTAGCCAGGCTGGTCGAACCACATCTGGGACTGGCTTGCTATAGCCTATGTTGGGAGAGGCTGCCAGTCCAGGCCAAAGCGCCAGCCCCTCCAGATGTGATGCCTTCCTTGCCACTTGCAGCAGAGCCAAAGCACCCAAGGCACCTACCAAGGGCATATGGGTCAGGCCCAGCTCAGCCACGGTGTTGCCAAGCAGCTGGCGGGTTAGCTGTGTTCTCAGCTGTAGCAGGTGGCTGGGCAAGTCCTGTCCCCGATGGCCCTCACACTGCTTCATGCTGCTCAGAGCCCTCTTGGTGGCTGCCAGACAGTTCTCTGGGCTCATACGGAAAGGTGGGAGCAGGTCGTGCAGTGGGATAAGGGCCTTGATAATGGTGATTGCATGCTGGACCACACGCCGATAGGGTACCCACATTTCCACCTCCTGCAGCCTCAGGTCTTCTAGCTCCTCGTAGTAGACATGCAGCTGACATAGCTCTGCTTGGGTCCTTACCATGTCCCGCAGAAACTTGACTAGATCCTTACTGTTCGTGTTCTGGAACAGCAGCATCAGCAAGAGCCGCTCCTGCATACAGTCATTGTTGCATGGATTTGCCCCTTTCCCACACAGTCCCCTATCAGCTCCACGCCTCTCCATCCCCACACCTGGGCCCCTCCAGAGCCCATCCCAACCCATCCAGCAGTCCCCTGAGCACCTCAGCAGCTTCCACAGCTTTGAAGGTATCCAGGGCTCCCATCTTGAGGTCCTGCCAGCGGTTCTTCAGCTCGGGACGCTCCACGCACAAGATTTCATGCAGCATCTGTTCTTCTAGGATGTCCATGTTCAGGCCCAGATCCAGCACATTCAGCCCCTTCAGCAGTTCACAACCTAGCGCTTGGGATCATGTGAGAGACCCTTAACCCCTTCCCCTTGACAGAGCCAGAGGGTGGGGTTCACAGGGAGCATGGTTCCCTGCTACAGGCCTGAGCCTGCTCTGGGCCGGACTGAGTGAAGCTAGGGGCCCAGTATGCCCACAAAGCTATGCTGGCCACTTACCCACCGGGCCTCACCTTTTTCCAAGGCACGGAGGGGGAGGGTAGTGCTCAGATAGAGACAGAAGCCAGGCTGCACCTGGGCTGGGCTCAGCTGCCCCCGCTGCAGCAGCCACTGCAGTTCTTGGCACCCTAGGCCCAGCTCCATGTGGGTCAGCAGCACGGGCAGGCCTGTGAGGGGGAAGCAAGGGCACCCTGCCCACCATGCCAGCAGGTAGGCCCCCCATGGGCAAAATCTGCCGCTGAAGAGCTCCCCTCTGGCTGACAGCAGGGCTGCCCCAGGGCTGTCCCACAGAGTCAGTGCCCAGGAGGAAGGTGGCTGCTGAGATCAGAGTGGGGTATGAGAGGCCTAGGGGCGAC